CGTCGCCCCTTGCTCAATTATTTGATTATTGTACGAGTTTTTCATTTGGGTAGTTGTTGCTTGCTCATTTCTTATTGTAGTGCGCTTCGCTTCTGTCTTGTGCTTTTGTTTTTGCGCTGCTCGTTCGCCATTTCGTTCGTTTCATTTGCCGTTGCCGTTTGTCGCTTCTGCCTTTTTATTTTTTGCACTCACACTGATTTTTCTGCTTGTTGTTGCTGCTGCTGCTTTGCCACTTGGTTTCGTTGAGGTCTTTGAATGAATTTCGCTGCTTGCTTCGTCTAGTCGCATTTCGCATGCGAAGCTGTTGCCGTCGTCGTGCACGCGTCGATGTTTTCGTTATCAACATTAACATTCGATAGGCCATTACATGCTATTTTTTCGCATTTAATATTTTAGTTGTTGTCTTTTTTCATTCTTCAATGCGTGTTTGAACTTTTATAAGAAAAAAGAATAACAACTATTGCAGCGCGCGAATCAACAATATTTATGAAACGTACTTACGGTAACTTCTTCTTCATAGTGTGCGTGAGCGCTTTGTGTTCATTGTGTGCGCGTCGCTCTTGCTGTTAGTTACTACATTGCTTTCCTCTTTAAGTGTCTTTCTTATCTTACGTTTTGGTTGATTGGAATTTCGTATCATTTCCGCGAATTTTGAGCGTGCCTTGTTTTTTGCTGCCAAAGTCGCAACCATAGCCAACACAACCGCTAAACTTCGTATATTCGCAATGTACTATGCATATGTAAGTAAACAGTGCAATGTCAATGCTAATTTATTTATTTTGCCTGTAGGTAGCTTAAAAATAGTCAGGCATGCTACTAAATTTGTGATATACAATTCCAAAGTGCTTGTGTCAGCGCTCGCGTAACTGAGGCTTAACCTGTTTGATTGTCAAGTTAAACATACATACATATGTACATTGGTTTATACATGTGTGCATATACATATGTATGTATGAAAGTGCATCAATTACGGGCGATGACGTACTAGTCGTTGTAGTCAGCACTCAGCTCTAGCAAGCTAGCCTTTACAAATTTCTTTGGTTAGTTCGTCATGCACTTGAAGTGTAATAGCAGAGCGCAAACGGTGGATCGTTCAGTCGTTCAGACTGGCTGTCTGGCAGTGGACAGACAGATGTAGATGACAAACTGTTGCCAGTGGCGCTATCGAATAGTTGCCGCACCTTGTGCTCATTATATAAAGCTGTTTAGTGGGTGTGTTGCGGAAGGGAGGGGGTAGGAGATTATCGTTTCTCATGTCACTGAGTGGGGCACGCGTGTTTACGTTTACATACATACTTATGTATGTATGTACGTTTGTGAATTTATATGTGTGTGCGTGTTGCTGTCAATCAAATGGGCGCAGCGCATGCAAAACACTCGTGTGACGTAGGCGGAGTGCCAATTACCTCTCATTTTTGTTGTTGGCTTCTACTGTTTCTGTTTCTGCTGTTGTTCTTGTTGGGATCGACAATAGCGTTCATTGCATTGCCTTCATAGACAAGAGGCTCCCATGAGTCCGGGCCTGCACTCATGTTTGCGTTTACTTATCTAACACATACATACATACATATGTATGAATGTATGCACATCTGTCTGTATGTATGTATATGCGTGTGCGTATGTACATTTGTATGTATGTAGTACATATGTGTTAAGTGAACATGCAATACTTGAAGTACTCTTACAATTTTGTCTGATAATTTTGAACTGAATATGTAGACATACTATACTGTTATTTACTATACGTAGTACATACATATATGCAATTCAATGCATTTACTATATGTATGTATTAACACATGTGTGTATGCATTTTGCATACCCGACAGCTCGACGAGAATGCAAGCAAATCTATATTTGCATGAATGGACTCATATAAGTCATGTCCATACCCTGCAATTTAACAAATGTAGCAAAATTAGTCTTGTACATACTTATATCCAAAACAAAAATAACTATGCACTGCTGTTTGGACAATTAAACATTCTAATTAATTTTCTTTTAATATACATATGTATATCATATATTAATTAAATACCATTAAACTGTACTTTAAAGCTTTCTAGCTTTCTAATGAGCAGCTGCAATTGTGCTACAAAGCTTTTCTACTATATAGGCCTACTTGCTTACTTATGCATATGTACATATAAACAAACATATGTACATACATACATACATAAAAGTGCGCCTTAGTGAATGAAGTACAATAGAATTCAAAGGTTTGTGCCTTCTAAGTGACCTATTCTAGCTTTTCAACCTACATGCATGTGTTGTTCGGGTGTATGTATGCACATAAATAGTGAATTATAGCTTGTCATTTGATAAAGTTTGCGATTACTTTCATACTTGTACATATTGTACATACACATATGTATGTACATTCATATATGGCACATATGTATGTAAGTGCTGCCTAATCTCAAATGGTATGTACATATGGCACTTGAGATTTCCTTAATTACTACAACTGACGTCAACGCGTCTGCTTCATGACACATACACATACATATGCATTCATATGTACATACATTTCTATATTATAACAAATAAGGCGCGACTGCGAAAATGGCGCACTTATCATGCATTTAGATTCCCTGGTGTTGTTTGTGAGTAATACAATGGTAAATATAGCAATAGCAGCAGCAGTACTATCAACAACAAAAACAAGAACAACATCAATGTACCGCATTTAACTGATAGCACAAAACACACAACAACAAAAAAAGACAACAACAAATACGCGTCGCACGTATTTTCAATGGAATTTTTAGGCGATTTTTTTCGCACTGTTTAAAAGCATAGCATATAAATGATAAAGACATAAATAAACACAGGCAAACAAAAATATAGTAACGTTCAAATCGTTGCTAAAAGGCAACGCCAGCAGCCGGCCCGGCTCGGCGCACGTCCGTTGTCAATTAACGCTCCCGGGGTCTGGTGATGGTGGTGGCTGGTTGGTTGGTAATCGACATTTTTTTGAAGCGGTGAAGGTGTATTTAGACGGGTTGGCAACTGCTGCTGGAACTGCCTGCTGGCAGTTACTTAACTAACGCATTGGAAAGTCACACATATGCATACAAAAGCAAACAAATTACGAATGCATTATAGAGTATAGTATATTGGAATATAAAGTACAGCAAATAGTATTAGAAATAGTACATATGTATGTTTAGAAGCAAACATTTGCTGGGTATATATCAAAAAGCAATACTATATCAGAAATCAAATGCAACTTTGTTTTGCCATAAATCCAAAACATGATTCAAATATCGTATCAATTTTTGTTTTATCAGTTTTCAATTAGAAGTCAATTATGTTGTTTTTAAAGAGCAAAGATACACCATTTTTTGTCCGTGTACATCGCACGAACATACGAGGCCACACAGTGCGCCTTGCGGTGGGTCTCTCGGTCTCTCGGTCGTTCGATCTGCGTGTGGTGACCAACTGATAAGTCGGCAACAACTAGCCCATGAACTGTCTGTCTGTATGTGTGTTTGGCTATCAGCTGTGGGCGCCACGCTTGCCACCGAGAGCCATCAAAGTTTTGCCTAGTATCTGTGTATGATGAGTGTGCGTGTGTGTGTTTCTAAATATTTGCGTGCGTGTGCGCCGAGCAACAGGTTGGCTTAAATGCGAATTCGGCCCAAAACGAAGCATTTTTGTATTGTGGGGTGGGTGCGAGCGACAATAAAGCGAAATAGAAAGTTGATAAAAGCGGTTGAGCGTCTGAAATACGAACACATGTATTCACAAACATATGTACATGATGTGCATATGTACATACTCGTATTTATATACATATGTACATACTATGTACATATCTTATAATCATTTGACTGAAGCTACTTGACATGGATGCGGAATTTCAACGCCTTGTCGTGATTCATACGTGATTGGCTCAAATCGAATCAAAACATATTTGATAAGGTTGAGCCCAATTAGTGATGTTGATAATGACACCGGTCAACGGGCAACATTACGTATACGTGATGAAATAATAAAGCATTTTACGCAAATGAAAAATGCCGTAGTTAAACAATCAATTCAAAAAGTTGAATTTGACAAACAGGTTACTCTGACTGGGTCATGAAATGTACAAAATAAAGATGAGGATATTCCTGGAATTGGAAATAATATAATTATGATAAATCATTTTTGTTCTTCTATTTGGATAAATGATTAAATGGCACTGTTCAAGTTCGTGGGCAATAATGTCGTTGTAATGCAGGAACTGTCATTAAAATTGCATCTGTTATGCATCGCTTTAAAAAATTAAGTACATGTACATAGATAAACTTGCGTTTAAATTCCTCGTTGTGAGCTCAAAACAAGTGCACACATAATAAAGTTGGACAGTAAAGCTTTCCTTAGTCCCAAAGGTCAGCTGCCTAGCCTTGTATCTGCACACTCACAGACAGATTTCCATGCATACTAACTATGCATGTAAATATTTAATAAGCTCGGCTACTAACTTGTTAACGAGTAGAGCTCACAAACAATTTTTATTATGCCCCACTCGTCTAAAGTTTAAGTGCTGGTTTTATTTAAATTGTTAAACTGTTCAAATGCAATTAAACGCTGACACTCGCTTGAGGTTGCGCCTCACATGATTCTCCAACAAATTGGGGGTGTGCTCGGCTGACATTCCCCGTGCATGATGCACTTGTTATGGTTTAATTTCGTGTGCCTTAATATGCAAATATGTATAGTGAATTAGTAGTTACTACGTTTTGTTTAGTTATTGGGATTGGTTTTAGTAAGTGAACATAACTCTTAGATGTGGCTTTCATTGAGGTTGCTGCTTCGCCGTATTTCATATTTGCACTAATTTTAGCCTTTGTGCTAAAATATGTATTAATTAATACAGACTTGTTAATTGATAAAAAGAAACATTTCTCGATTATTTCGAACGCGTGTCGGTCATATTTTTTTAATTTTTAAAATTAATTCTAAAGTAGGCAATAACTAATATAGCATATGTTTTTCCTTTGTCATTGCAGAAGAGCCACAAGCAAGCAAATTTGATAATATGGAAAATGCAACAGCCACAGCAAAGCATTACAAGACCACAGCTAAACAATACAAAAGCAACAACAAAGTGAGTAACAATAACACACGCTTGGCGGATAAACGCGCAGCAACCACAGCAACAAGTGGCATCAACAACACCACTTCAGCAACAACAGCGACAGCAACAAAGAAGCAAACATATCGTTCGAGTGTTGAACCTGCAACAGCAGCAACAACAGCGCAGAAACAAACCCACAGCAAAGCCAACAGTAAAACAACAGGAGCAGCAACCACTGCTGAATCAGCAACAATAGTTTCTGGCGGCAATAACAACAAACCCAGTACAACGAGTGCAACAGAAAGTAAAGCACAGCAAAAGTCATTGGCTGCAGACAACAGCAACAATAGCAGCAACAATAACAACAAACAACACAGTGATAATAGTATTAGTGAAAATTATGAATTTAGGTCTAGAGATAAAACTCAAGCTAAGAATATAAGTGATAGCAAAATGACGCTACAGCATGTTGCAAGTGCGGCAAGCGTTGCTGCTGCCACCAGAGAGCCAAAAGCCTCCGATGCAGTAACAGTTGGCAATAGCATTTCAGCAACAACAGCAACAACAACGGATGAAGCCAATACTGCAGTTATGGCTGCAGCCGCTGCAGATTGGACGAATTCGCGTTATTTGCACAAAAAGTTTAAACGCTTGGCCAGCACAACGGAGACAGAGACTAGTGGAATAGCTGGCGATATAACAGCAGCAGCAGCAGCAGTAGCTGCAGCTACGACTTTGCAACGTACAACGTCGTTGTCACCCAGCAGTTCGTTGTCGCCACCGCCCACGACGCCGGCGCCCAATGCTGCACAGATTTTGACAAATGGCCATCATCATCAACAGCAGCAGCAGCAGCAGAAGCAACATGAGCAGCAACAGCCATTGCTGCAACAATCACAACAACAACAACAACAATCGACCAATGCAGAATTCAGTGCCAATTTGTTAAACAACAACGTTCATGCCTATGTGCAACAGCCGCAACAACAACAACACCCAGCAGAGCAGGCGATTCCAATCAATGCCATGGAAAGCAATAACAACAATAACACCAGCGGTACACACATACACAACAATAAAGCAGCCAATGCTGTAAGAACGCCTCTGAACAGTAATTACGCGCCCAATTCGTCAGTCTCGCCGGCGACATTTGCACAGCATCAGCAGCAGACACAGCCAACAATAACAACAGCCACAGCACCTCCAGTTCCAATTGGAGCAATAGTGGGAAATGGAGGAACTGGACGCTATGCATGTCCTTTTTGCAATCTGAATTGTGCCAAGCCTTCGGTGCTTCAAAAACATATACGCGCCCACACCAATGAGCGGCCATATCCCTGCGATACCTGCGGCATTGCTTTTAAGACAAAGAGCAATCTATACAAGCATTGCAGGTAAGCTAAAATAAAATCTCTATTAAAGTAAAGTATCACTCAATACATACGATTTGCAGATCCCGATCGCATGCAGCGCGCACCCGAGGTTTTGAAGTGCCTGCTGATGCTGATGATGGTCTATCCGATCAGGATGTGGATGCCGAGCTGAGCAATAGCAGTTCCGAGCTGGTAAGTAGTCGAAAAACATATCAGAATGTTAGAAGTCACATTATAACGTCTATTTATAATTCTCACAGCAGATCAGTCGATCGGGCTCCCCCTACGATGAGGCCGTTGCTTCACCCACGCCCTCACCCTCGACGCTTTCAGCTGCGAAGAGCACATATATGCAACAATCGATGCCGCAACACATACAACAATTGCCGCTTGGCTCGCCAGCTGCTGGCACTCTGCCACCTGCCACAGCAACCAATAATGCCGCAGCGGCGCACGATCAGCTGCACTCAGCCACGGCACAACATCGCCAGTCGATTGATTACAAGCCGTATAAGCCAAAATTTCATAATGCATCGCTATATGCTCCCGGCACCACCAAAGAGCAACAGCAACAACATTCGGCGACACTTGAAGCGGCACAACATCAGCTGCAAAAGCTGCCGACGGCATTGTCGATAGCGGCGGCCACACAACATCTGCCCCATCCAACACTTTCGCCCAGCACTCACCTGAAGCTTAATAATCACATTAATTCGCATCAACTGCAACTGCAGTTACAGCATCAAACGCTGCTGATGCCGGCCAGTCCAGTTGTGCTGCCACCGCCCACACCAGCTGCATTGTCAGTCGGTGGCGCTGCCTACTATATGGGGCTGCCGTATTCCGTCTCCAGTTTCCCCCCCAAGCAACCATACTACACCCCCGCCATGCATCCCCAGGTCTTCGCATTGCAGCTGCAGCACATGCAAGTGCAGCAGCAGCAGCAGCAACAACACCAGCAACAGCAACAGCAGCTTCATTCACCACTTCTGAAGACACCACCAGCGCCGCAAGTACAGTCGCGTCCAGTCAACAGTCAAGCGCAACCCACAGTAGCAACTTCACTGCCACAAGCCGCTCCAGTTGCAATAGGCGGTCGTGAGCAGCAACAGCAGCAGCCGCCGCCACCTTCACAACAACAGCAACATTACCTGCCAGCTCCACTGAGCGTAGCACCACCAACCCCACCAACTGCCAACCTGGGCAGTTTCGCTAGCGGCATGCAAGTGGTAAGCATTTAAAGCTCCCCTTAAGGCTTGAAATATACTATAACAGGACTATTAATTAAATTGAAATAACTCATTTTTAATTCGTTCATTCCTTTTATTATTTTGCAGAACGTGGAAAAGGTGCAGGAGCACATTAGCAAGCTCATCTCACAGAACGAGGCGATTGTGGAGAACAAAGAAATATTGCTTCAAAAGAAATATCCAAAGCAATTGAACCGTTCACGCAGCTTTAACAATGCCAACAACACGAGCAATACCAGCGGCAACACCACTAACAACAACATCTCCGCCAGCAATGCCAATTCTCTCAATCATGCAGGAGCAGCAGCTGGCGACACCAAAGTCAACCTGGCCCAGGCCATTGTGCAAAAGCAACAGCTGCAGCAACAGCAACAATATCAAATGTATTTTCAACAGCAGCAACAGCAGCAGCAGCAATTGCGGTTGGATGAGGCACAGCACGCACTATCCCACAATGGTTTGGTAAAGCGTAGCAACTCGAGCATTGCCTATGCCAGCAGCAAGCCAGCCGCACTGCCAGCTCCCCCACCGCCCACTCCCACGAAGCCGCAACAGCAGTCGCTACCACCGCCAATGCCCGTTCAGACGTTGCAATATCGTCAGGATCCAGCAGTCTCAATAACGAAGGCAGAGTTGCAATCTACGTCCGGAAACAACAACAATATGCCGCTCAATTTATCTGCTAAAGCTAAACCGGCCGTCGCCCTGCAATCACAACCTCAGCCCCAGCAGCCAAGCAATGCCAATCATGCGCCCAAGAAGCGGCAGTCTATTGACCAGCAACTGCAGCCGAATGTGACGTTCAATGCGACCGCCGTAGCTGCGCCTGGTGGAAAAATCATGCCACCCAACAACTCAATTATCAAGAACCTGCTGCTGAACGCACGCGGTCTGGCCGTTCCAATTGGCGAAGGGGACGATGCTGTCTACTCCTGCCCCATCTGCGCCAGCGAGTTCCGCAGCGCGGACGAGCTGAAGCTTCATAACAGCATATACTGCCAAGATGCATCATCCAGTGCACCTATGAGCCCTGCCTCCACACCGTCTACTATTTACTTGAGCCTGCCCGAACTAAAGAGTCACATGGCCAATTCCAAGAATCCGCTGTCGTTAGCAAAACTCGCGTGGTCCCAGTTGAAGATTAAGCCCAGCAGTCTGGTTTTGAGTCGTCTCAGTGCCGTTCAGTCGCCTACGCGCACCACTACTGTCACCGCTCCATCACCAAGCAGCACTACCAGCGTTAGTGTTGGTGCAACTACTGCCATGCCGGTCAGCGTTAATGTTGTGGTGGCACCCAGCATAGATGCCAACGCCTTGCGCTTTGTAGATGCCCCGCTGCCTTCACCCGGCCCGCTTCTCGGCAAGACGCCGCTAGTGGATTATGCGCAGCAAAGCACGCCCAGAAAAGAGGATGTTGTTGTCATAACCAAAATGCACGAAGATCGACATTTTTCTGGCCTGGATTCGCAGCCTTCGAATGCTAAGCGCCCAAGAAATATCAGTGATAACAGTTTTAGTTATGCATCTGGCATGCCGCTGCTCAACACCTCCACTGAACTACACGGCGCTTTTATGGCCGCCTCAAATGAGCTGCCGAGCAAGAAGGAGGAACGCCTGCGCCGATTTACCTCCTCCGGCGGCAGTATGATTCCCATCTCCGAGTGCACTGACCTGGACAAAAGTCCCAAGATGATACGCACACCTCTCCTATCGGGCGGTAGTTTTCAAGAGGTTTCGCCCAAGCAGAACGATGCCAAGGAGCGAAAATCAGCGAACGACATACTATCAAAGCTGCCGTCAAATGGCAGCAACAGCTTCCTAAACTCCCAACAACATTTTCAGTTTCCACCCATTAACTCCATCACTGCCTTTAACCCCCTGACGCTGCCGCCAATAAGCAGCACCACTTCGATTGGGTCCGATAAAGCCATACCTTATGTACCAGGTATCCCTGGTCCGGGCAGTTTAACGCCTCAACTGCCGCCATTGCTGCCACCGCCCCAGCAACTCCAGTTGGCAGTCCCATCACGAGGACGAAGTCCAAATCGCAAACAACCGAGCCCACTCCTCAACAATGCCATGGCTGCTGGCGACCTGAAGGCTCTCTCACCATTCGGCGGTGTTCAGAATTTGCCCAGCGAATTCAGTCGCATACCACCGACGCCGGCACAGCGCAGCGCGCTCCAATGGAACAGCAAAGTAATCAACAACAATACTCCAGAGGTGTCAAAGAAGCCCTTCAATTATTTACGCATAGCTGACAATGTTAGTCCTCGTAAAAGAGGCTCGTCGCCCATGAAGGGGTCACCACCGGAGCAGGAGGTGCGTCACTTTAATTTCGACAATATAAATAAAACAAATGAGACAACCAAACTGCCAGAGCAGGCACATGTATTGACGCCTCTCCATGTGGACACACCCACACCAGCTGCTGCCGTGCCCGTTACAGGTGTTGAGGAGTCCGTCTCAGCCAGCGAGCTCAAGTCGAAGAATAAGTTCTTACGTCCCACTAGTCTGCCTCTGAAGCCAGGCACCTTTACACCAAAACGCCATCACGGCATCACGCCCACCGCAAACACTCTACCTTTAATCTCGCCAGAGACGCCGCGACCCTCAAAATCGTGCGTGCAACTCTATCTAAATGGACATGCCTACACCTATTTGGGTCTGAAGTGTAGTACCAAAATGTTCTACTGCACTGTGAACTGCCCGCAGCCCTCCTACGTGGCCGGCATGCACAAGCTGTCCATGTACAGTGTGTGGCAGGTGTGCGAGGAGAACAATCCGCACCCGTTGGGCTTCAAGCCGAAGCACGTGATGGCCCTATACGACTCACGACCAAAGTTAAATGCCAGCTTCACGATGGCTGGAAACGCCAAATTGCACTACGCTCTAGTTAATATGCAGCAAACCGTGTGTAGCACCTCGTTTCCCAGCAACCAGCACAAACTCTATCAACAGCAGCTTAATCAATTGGCGGCTGTTGCGGCACCACCACCGAAAGCCCTGAACGAGGCCAATCTGGAGGTCAAGGCTGGCGAGGAGTCGGCATCAGGAAAAAAGGCTGTGGATGGCGCTGGCGCGCAGTTGCTGGTTGGTGGCTATGAATCGCACGAAGACTACACCTATATACGCGGTCGTGGTCGTGGACGTTACGTGTGCTCCGAATGCGGCATTCGTTGCAAAAAGCCGTCGATGCTGAAGAAGCACATTCGCACCCACACAGACGTGCGTCCATTTACGTGCAGTCACTGCAATTTCAGGTTAGTAAAGATTTGGATTAATTATATACAAATAAACAGGCTTTAATTAATTAACACTTTTTCATTATAGCTTTAAAACCAAAGGAAACCTGACCAAGCACATGCAATCGAAAACCCACTTCAAAAAATGCTACGAATTGGGCATTATGTCAGGTCCTATGCCCGCCGACAGCGAATTTTCGGAGGCTGATTTGGAATTTGATCAACAATCGTCTACCTCGGCTGGTGGGCGTACCTCGTCTATGGCGGGCGAGACAGATTCTGACGATTACAGTGACAATGAGTCTGAGAGTAGTGGTAAGTGTAAGAAATACACCTCACAGATCAGATTTAATTATAAACTGCTGCTTACAGACACGGATGAATCCAAGTCACGCCTCAAAGAGCACGAAGCAGCACGCGGACTGCTCTCGCTATCCATGACGCCGCCCATTCCACAGAGCGTGTCACCATACCCACCGACAAACGAGGCACCTGCGCCCGCAGCCAGTCCAGCCAATAGCATTGGCTCATCGGCCGGCTCCAGTGTCGCAGGAGGCTCACAGCCCAAGCGTCTGGTTTGCTCATTCACATCCCCCAAGCCGCCGTTTGATTATCAGAAGCAGGAACAGTATTACTCGAACCCTGAAGAGTCAAAGCCCAAGCGCAGCAGCACCATTGCCGGTCTAACCAGCGATGAGAGTGCGCCCATGGATTTGACTAAACCACGTCCAGCTGTGTCCACATCACAAGCAACTGCTGCTGAGCTGCCGCCCAGCCTCAGTGTGGCCAAGTCGCAGGCGCAGCAAATGCGTGATGTTATATTTGGAAATGAAGGCAATGAATGTGGTTTTATGAAGACCCTGATCTCGGTGTCGGATAAAGTGCGCATCTCTGCCGAAATGGAGGAGAAAGCTAAGCACGAAAGCGAGAATGTGTTGCTGCAAACATACCTCAAAGAGCAGGCACTTCAGCACGCTAAGATGAAGCAGAGCCAGTACAGTCGGAGCTACGTGCTGGAGGCGCCAACACCCAAAACGAACAATGTGCTAGTGAGTATGGCCAACAGCATGGCCATCACATCGAGCACAAACAGCAGCAGCGGCAGCTTAATTAGCAGTGTCATCATAAAACAAAATCCAGAGACCAGTAAACCGATGCCAGAGCTGCCGACCATTGAGGTGCATGAGGTTAAAACACCAGAGCCTGCGACGCCAATAGTGGAACCTTCGGTGGTCGCACCCAACAAAAGCAACGACGAGAGCGAGGAAAGTGAATCTCAGTCTGATCAAGAGCTTGGAGCTGTATCCAGTAAAAATAGTAAAGCTATCGTCACCACGGAAGCACCACACAATGCGAATCTGCCAGCAGCAGTTCAGCAACCAGATGCCAAGGATTTTAGCGGAGTGCTTACTAACACACCCACAATCACTGTCATCGTTGGTGAGGATGGATTCAAGAACGCAAGCAGCAAGAATCCGGACGTGCAGAATGTAGCATTTGGACGTGGTGGGCCACCCCCGCCCCCAATTGCCGGCGATGCGCGTCCAACGTGCACCATATGCTCGAAGACTTTCCAACGCCAGCATCAGCTAACTCTGCACATGAACATTCACTACATGGAGCGGAAGTTCAAGTGCGAGCCGTGCAGCATATCTTTCCGCACGCAGGGCCACCTGCAAAAGCACGAACGTTCTGAGGCGCACAAAAATAAGGTCATGATGACGTCCACATTTGGCGTACCCACCACCTCCAATCCGCGTCCATTTGAGTGCACCGATTGCAAGATTGCCTTTCGCATTCACGGACATCTGGCCAAGCATTTGCGCTCCAAGACCCATGTCCAGAAGCTTGAGTGTCTGCAAAAGCTGCCGTTCGGAACATACGCAGAAATTGAGCGTGCCGGCATAAGTCTGACGGAAATCGATACAAGCGATTGCGAAAATTCGCTCATCTCGCTTAAGCTGCTGGCCCAAAAGTTGCTCGAAAAGGATCCAAACAAGCTGAGTAGCTATACAACCCCATCAGGCATGGTGCAGTTGGCCCAGGATGCCGCCAGTTCGAGTCTGGCAATTGGCTCGCAAGACAGCGCCTCCGAAGATGGCTTTAGTGCGGCGAACAGTGCCGCAGCTTCGGCAATCGCCTCGCTGGATAACGACAGTGCGGGAAATACTCCTCAGCGTGCCAACTCAATGTCCGAAGATGAATCGCTTGGCAATGGAAACGCTCTGACAAACAGCCTGAAGCGACGACTACCCAGCAGTTTCAGCAGCAACGGCGACGAAAGCGACAATGCCCCCGAACGTGAAGCGAACGAAAAGCGTCCACGCTCAGATCTCTTGGTGCCCACCGGACCAGCCGCTGCATCGGCGGCGGCAGCAGCAGCAGCCAGCAACTGACAGTACATGTACATGTTGCAGCCCACCTGAGTGCGGCCAATGCTGCCACAGATGTGGCAGCAACAGTCATCCTATTCCATGGGCTTTCAATCACAATTCCAACAATTTCAAGATCAAAAGCAAGTTGTGATGATGCAGGAAACGCCGTTGGATTTTAGTCAAATACCACCACATAACAATTAGGCACTGCCTTGAGCGCACACACACACACAAACACAGACGCACATTTGCGCGGAAATATAGCGATGATTTGTAAAGAACGACCAAAACTCAAAAAACGAGCGCATATCAAATGTCTAAGCATATCGCATTTGGGCACACAACTCTACATACACTAAAATATACTTACACCATTACACATCTACATACATATGTACATACATATATAAACCTAAGCTATGTACATTATGCGCTTTTGTGCGTATGTGTGTGCGCTTCTCGGCATAAACCCAACGCTATATACCCCATAAATAAGTATATACACACAAGTGTTATTTGTATCTAAGTATTTAAGTAAAAGTCGTCGTCAACTCTGATCTACAACTACTGCAATCGTTATATGCATTCAATACATACGTATATACATATGTATGTATACTTAGGCTTTTATAAACATGTTCTACTCTGCCTCTATCTCAAGAAAAAACGTCACCTACATATACATAAAGTAGCATATACTATATGTATGTATGTACATCTACAGCGATTTTGAAAATTGTGAGCGTACATATTTCACATAGAATTTTCATTTTTTTGTTTTTCAATATGAAAACTCCTTAAGTGCTGTGAGTCTATCTAAAACAAAATACAAATATTTTGTTTAAAGGAAACTTATAATTTGTAAGATCCCTAAATCCACCAACTACCAAAAAAACACAAAAAACAAAAAAAATATAGAAGAAAAAAACAATGAAACCCCGTGCTTTCCTTTCGAAAAGTGCTTTGCATGAAGTGAAATCACATAGCCTTCCTAATTTTAAATTGCGATTATTGAAAAAAATTATATTGTTATTGTGCACGAAGCATTAACATGTGCATAAATATTTTCATTATTATGTTTTAATCTTAAAACACCGAGACCACGAGACTCTATGATTGTTTGTTTAATTTTTGTGTGTAATTAGCAGAAGAAGCCGCAAAACTAACTGAAAATTAACATTATGTTGTCATATTAATTAAGTTAGGATAGCAAAAACAGAGAAAAGAAAAACAAACAAAATAACTAAAAAAAAGATACATAAATTTATATAAAAGAAAATTGTTGTACAAACTGCGCTAAAGCATATTTAAGATATTAAATAAGTAATCGAAAAATCAGAATAGGCTTAGGTATAATATATTATATTATATATTAATATACAAAACAAGTTAATGTATATACAATATGTACGTGTTTAAACAAAAACAACAAAAATGAAGTGATTTATTACATTATTGTAAATGTATATGTGAAAGCATAAAATATATCAATCTTTGAAAACAACCGTGAAAACCTATACAAAAAGGAAAAAACCGACAAAAAAATAAATACAAAATAAAGAAATCAATGTAAAAATCAATTGCGAATTATTTCTCTCCAGCTTCCTTACCGCCATTCAAAAGCGCTTCTGAAAGAACATGTATTCCTGCAAAAACAAATTCCGTCAGATTCGTTTGAAAGCTATAAATGGACACTTTGCTCCGCTTACCAGCAAAAAAGCTGCTCCTAAAATCAATGCGCGTTCCTTGCTCGTCAGCTTCATGTCACTGAAGTAAATGTTGGTGGTATATTGGGATTTACTGGCCAGCCATTTGTGATCGATGGAAGCCCGCAAATCCCCGCCGGAATGAATCTGTATGATTGGAGCAAATTTCAGAAAACAAAATAATTAATCTGCGGTATTCAAATATAGATTCTTTTGTACAAAACAAAAGTTCAATCGGATGCCGAAAACAAAGTCCAATACACGAAAGAAGAACGGCCCAGAAAATTTAGTTTAAAGTAATTTTGAGGCTATATGAGGAACTATGTAGCCTTAGTTTCTGAGTCCCTTAGTTAAAAGAAGGCGTGACAGACCCAACACATATACACGATCAGTATGTCTGTCTATGCGTCTGTTTAGAATACTACTACTACAAGTAGAATAACCAAACTTGTTAACAAGGTTTTCCTTAGTCCGATGCACTTCTAAGCTGATTATTAAATTATTTCTTCCGTAATTCTTGAAACTGCTTACGTAAGTTTAAGGATTACAGAAGGATACAGAAGTCTATGCCTTACTTAAAATAAGACTTCAAAAGTTGGCGTGACAGACCCAACCGATCATATGTATTCTCGATCAATATATCTGTCTCTCCTCTCCGTCTGTGTGATAGCAACGATTTTTAGAAGCTACTAGACTAGCTAACCAAACTTGTTAACCAGGTTCTCCTTAGTCCGATGCACGTCTAAACTCCTGCCTATTGTTTCTCTCGTAATTCTTGCAACTACTTAAATAGGTTTAAGAATTACATCTCCCGAAGTCGATGCCTTACCTTAAAATAAGACTCCTTTGGCAAACAGAAGCAACAACATCCCGAATTCGACGGTCCGACTACACAGAAGATAGGCTCATTTGTATTGCCATCCTCAATAAAGAACTCGGGCTGCATAAATGTTGGCGATTCTACAACACGACCCAGTAAGTTTCCTGGAGGTATCCAAATTTCAAGATTTTTTGGTTTGCAGCAGACTACGCCTAGGGCCAATTTTTTGCGAAACACCAAAGCCTCCTGGTGCGTTTTGTCTAGCAGATGCATTTGGAATGGACGACCTGAGCCCCAAATTAAACGGCTATTCTCAGTGGAGCTTTCGGAGGCTGCGAAAATAGCATCGCCTAGTGGCGAGCGCACAACGTAACGATTTTCCGATGAGACAGCTGTGAGTGCTGCAAAAAAAATTACATTAACATATTTTTCTTAACTCGGGCGTCAATTATACAAACATTCATTTAATTCAAAAGTTTGTTCAATATGCACCGATGGCAAATCGGCTAGGCAATCGTAGCCAGACAGGGGTATTAATGTGCGTGTACCGCCAACTGTTGAGATCGGCAGGGGAATTCGTGGCGCCTCTGCAATATTGTTGTAATAAATCATAAAGGAAACTCCTTAAACACAAAAGCACTCACCCCGTGTGGGACGCGGCTGGGATGTTATGCTAATCGGACCGTTGAATACTAAAATGAGATATAAAACATTTTCTATATTAATAGATCTAAAAAAGATTGGTCTAAACATCCTTTTTTGGAACTACAAAGAAACAATTTGTTTTAGTCTTACATACGAGGTGTGTACTTTTTAATTAATTTAGATGTGGGCTGATAATAATTTTTGTACACCAAAAATTACGAAAACTATTCTAATATTTTAATACTATTCTTATATTTTATACTGCTAGTATTCATTCACAAATACGCCAATATGTTAAGAATGCTTTCTATGAAGCATACGAATTGGAATGTTTAATGTTTAATGTTTATATATTCCATCATTCTCTGGACTTGATTTGTCAGCAGACTGAATTATAAGTATTATAAGACTTTAAGTTGATTAGTTTCTAAGGGATCTTATTGTTTCAGCACAGTAGGACATTTTGGTTTTCTTTCTTGTACTTTTCTGTATTTAAATTTATTCATTGATTGTGTTTATTGACAGACCTAAGATCCAAAGACTCTTATTATTCTTCCACAAATATCTCGTTTTCTATATCTGAACCATTATCACATATTTGGATTATTATTTTTAAACCTTACTAGAACCACACACCTATAAATTATTACAAAATAATAAGACTGTGTAGATAGTTCGGAATGCTGTAGCCCGTTCCTCAACAGCAGACTCACTGCGAGTGTCAACCATGAATCGGTTCTGAATTATAGAGCTGGCTAGTTGTTTGTTAGTTGCCTAGATAGCTGCCCCTAAAGCAGTATGTATTCTCCCAGAATTAGCAGAATTATATTTTTAGTGTAATTATTCTATTAGACATGTTTGACCAACTGTGCTTCAAGTTTTTATAAATTAATTTGTAATCTTTTAATTGAAGTTCAAGAGAATTGAAATAATTTAAAATTGAAATGTATGGACTGACATTGATTTATTGTACAGAAAAAAAAGAATTATTTCAATGTTTTTATATTTATAGCAAATCTTATCAACTTATATTGCTTAAAAAAGCATTTCACAGAATAATGTTAGACAAATCACGTTCCTTTTAAAGGATCGTGTTTTCATTATAATTCTTTTTTACATGGCTTTGGGTAAAGTAAACTAAAGGGTCTTAAACACAAAGGCGTCGGTGTTGTTCGTAAAACCGCAGCTAAACATCTGCTGATAAGATATTGGTAATAGTCACATAGTTGTTGCCATTCACTCACACTTGTATGGGCCGCAAATAAATCCAAAAGCGGCAGCAGTTACTATACACAAACACACATAATTTATTTATCAGCTAGTAAAAATATAGCATTCACTTCTAGTTATGAATCATAGGTATGTATTGCTTATAAATGCCTTTTCACAGTTGATCAATATGAATTATACTTTAACTTTACCCCTCGGCTCCACAGGATCTGATTGCTGGGCCACGCGTATTTCGCTGTCATACTGCAGGTTTCGGACTGCATCGTTTTGAAGCATAATTTTACTGCGTTTTTAGTTTTTGAAATGCTTTCGACAGTAAAATAAGAATGATTCCAATTCGCGCGACGTTCTGATAACAACTGTGTTTTGACGGTAGACAATTGATTGCTGTGTGGTAGTAATTGCCTTTTGAGCGTTGTTATCGGTGCTTAAAGCTTTGAAAAATTCTGCGCTCAAAGTAAACGCAGGAAAATGGTGAAAATTACTCGTTTTTCAATTGTAAAAATTTTTTTTTTGCTCATTCCAAACGCATTTGATTTTCAGCGCACAGACGTTTCTGTAATGAAAAAGGATGATATTCGGTGATAAAAGTTAGTTGATAAATTATTATGACCAAGTTAATTATTATAAAAAAATGTACTCTAATTCTAAGTTGTTAAAAAAGTAACGGAGTGCCTCAAGCCTTTTAAAAGAAATAGTAAACTTTCGATACTGAGTAAATTGTTAGCCTTGCCATATCGCCCAATATGTTCCGAAAATAACAGCTGTTAATGCGCCGTACGGCACACGAAACATCTATATCCGAAGAAGTGGCAAGCTCTGATTAGTAATAATAAGAGCTGCAAGACAAGTGTAATAAATACATTTTTATCTAATTTGAATAAATAAATATTCGTTGTCGCTTAAAAGGAAAAAAGTTATGCTGGATTTTGTGTAATAAAACAGTTTATTTCGACCAAAAGGAGTAGTCAAAGAGGTGGAAGCGTGCAGCAGGTGAGTGAAAAGATAAAACTATGCGGATAACTATAAATATAAAGTTTATTTTAACAACTTTAACCCCTTTAATGGGGCTCTAAGGGCGCTCAAGTAATTGTCCATAGCCTAAATATGGAAATTATTATGTTGTGTCGCACTAATCTTTAATGTTTTGGTTGGAGGCTTTGTTGTTGCTGCTGCAAGCTTAGCCTCTCTCTCGTCTCGCGGGGAATGCGCAGGCGCTAGAGCGCCATATAAACAAATGCCTCCACTGGTTGGCAGTTGAGATGAGCTGAGCACGAAATAACGTCAGTTTTTGCTAGAGTTCGACGCGTGTTGATGGCCATCGCGATTTTTGGGCAACTACAGAGATAAAATTACTCGCTTTATTAGAATGCAGATAAGACGGCGTAGTGCAATAATCAATACTCAAACGCGCTAGTAGAACAATTAAAAATGCGATAGATTAGATCGAGTTGATTGGGCATTTTATGCTAGCTGAAAAAAGTATTGATATTTCAAAAAAAAACATAAGCCAGCTACAAATTTCAGTCCATGTAACGGTCACACAACCCCCCACGCACTCTGCTTACATACATATATTTTCTAACTTGCGTTATTTACCCCGTCATTGGGGGTAGATTTTCACGTTAAGTGTGAGCGGTTCCTGTGTGTGTGTGTGTGTGTGTGCTTGTGAAGAAAACCGTGGAGCACGAAAAAGAAAAATCCATGAAAATACAAATCAACTGCTTCTTCGTCTCACAAAAACCAATTTCCAGTAGAGCACTGTAAATTTCGTTGCGAAAAGTACGTGACAACGGGGGTCATGTCTCTGGAGGATCCATTTTTCGTTGTTAAGGAGTATGTCGGCAGACGTATATGCGGAGTGTATGCAATTTTGCTTACTCATTCTTTTGACTTCTTGCAGCGAGGTATTCAAAGCTTTGAACAAAACACGCGGACTCTACTTGCGTTGGCGTGAGCTTGGCGAGAGCGGTGGAGCTGAGGTTGAATGGACCACAACTGAGCTACGTAACTCGCTGCGTAGCATCGAATGGGATCTGGAGGATTTGGAGGACACTATCAATATCCTTTTTAAACAACAGATAAAAACATTTATGACCATGAGTGCGAAAAATCAATTTGGTTCACGCTCATGCCACATTAGCTTAGCGTTTTATGCATTTTACCGTTTGGTGGTTACATCAACCTCGTATAAATGAACAATTCAATACATATAAAGTAAATAGTCCGTCTGTGTCATGCCCTTTAAAAACCTAGCTTTTGTGTGAAAATTTTTCTTGATTGACTGATTGAGATTCGAAATATCTTACCAACTTTCATATCTGAAGAAGAATGAAGATTACAAGATATACTAAAGAGTGCTATTTTTAAATTGATATTTTACTGTGCATGCTCTATAAAATAATTCGATTTTTTTTCCTTAACTCAATCACTGTTAACTGAAAAATACGCATTGTTGAGAAAAACCCGAGCAAGTTTCGCATCGATAACCGTGAACTTTCCAGCCGGCGTCATTTCATCGACAATACTCGCGATGAGGTCAAACAGATGAAGGAGAAAATGAGCCTGAATCGGAGCAGGGACAGAGATATAACCGCACATCAGCCGCTACTCGACAACGAACACAAAGACAGCAACAATTCTACAGATCATCATCACACCAACGAATATCATAATCATCAATCGCACAACGATCGTACCTATCTCGTAGATTGCCCCACAGCAACCACAAATTCACTCATCAATAGCGGCAGTCAAGTGGTGGCCAATACCATAGCGGGAACCATGTCAGCAGCAGCGGCAGCCGCATCGCGCCATAGTGGTACCAAGTACTCTAAGCTGGAGAATGCATTGGACAGCCCCAGTCATTACGGACAACAATCGTACGGTGCCGGTCTCGATAGTCCCGGACATCGATATGTGGGGGAAACAGTGTCCATACAGCAGAGGATGATACAGGGACAGGATGAACAACTGGATATGATAAGTGATTCAATTGGAACGTTAAAGACTGTATCACGTCAGATTGGCGTTGAGTTGGATGAGCAGGCGGTGATGTTAGACGATTTTGGCAATGAGTTCGATACGACCGAGTCCAAGCTGGACACTACCATGAAGAAAGTTGCCAAAGTGCTGCACATGAATAATGGTAAGTACAAGCTTACATACATATGTACGTCCAATAATTATATAATTATATTAATTTACTATTTCAGATAAGCGTCAGTGGGCCGCCATTTTTATACTTTCTGCGCTTTTATTGATTGTGATAATTTTGTTTATTATTTTGTAATTTGCATTTGTTTTTGCCTAAACTTAAATTAGTGTAAATTCTTCAATTTCGATTCACATACATACATATTTGTATGAGTTTAATTGGAATTTTAACAATCTGGAATACTTATAACTCAACTTAGTATCAGCAAATTTCTTAGCTGTATATACACGGTTTTATTTTATAATACAAACTCGATTGTACATGCATACATACGTATATAGAATTGTATACATACACATATAACCCGTTTTCCCTTAAAGTTGCAGAATTAAATATTTATAGATTATGAGTGCTAGTGTCGGAATAAAGAAAAGAAAACGAAAGACATTTACGTACGTGTATGTGTTGTAGAAAAATAATAATGTTTGAACTCCGCAATAGCCCTCCCTATAAGCAAACACATTTGAAATGGTACAATTTATATGTACATAAATACAAAACTATATATGTATATCAAAAGAGAGTTATATAAAGATCGATTTTATGAAAATTCCAATGCAGTTGGACAAATACATATACATACATATATGCATATATAAAATTGAATTCTATTTTTTAATGTGTCAGCTTTTGAATGCAGCTGCTGCCGACTGCAGCTCCATAATTTGGTTTTTCAACACTGCAATCGTTGCCAGACAGTTCCAAATTTTTCAGTACAAAATTACAGGGCTGGATAAAAATATTTTGGATTTCTAATAGGCGCGTTGAGACGTGCGATCGATTAAACATTTACAGATTGTTGAGAAAGTGAGTTGTCAGAGTACTTCATAACATTTTATTTAATTGTATTACTAAAACAATTCTTGTACAGCTATTGCGCGTCGCCTTACAGCATGAAACGCTCAAAGGCCACGAGCTCCGGGACCGTAAAACAAGCCAAAAAGAAGCCGAAGCCTGGCGCCAAAGTCGAAACTAAAAATATTACTGGCGGTAATGATGAGAGCAGCAGTAGTGATGCTGAGCAAATCCCCGCGAAGGTGCTGTCCAAGCCCAATTACACAAATTTTGAACAGTTCCTCGAGCACATAGAAAATCAGCGTAGAAGCTGCGCTAGTAACGTCCAGGAATTTTCATTCAAAAAGAAGCGAGTGCGTATTCTCTCCGAAGCTAGAGATGTTAAGGATAAATGCACAGGTGGAGTCGTTTACTGGATGTCCCGCGATGCACGAGTCCAAGATAACTGGGCTCTGTTGTTCGCCCAACGTTTAGCTTTAAAGCTCGAGCTGCCGTTAAATGTCGTTTTCTGCTTAGTACCTAAGTTTCTTAACGCCACTCTGCGCCACTACAAGTTCATGATCGGTGGATTACAGGAGGTGGAACAGCAATGTAGGGCGCTCAATATTCCCTTCCATTTGCTGCTTGGCCCGGCTGTCGACCGTATACCAAAGTTTGTGCGGGAGCACGACGTAGGGGCTGTAGTATGCGATATGGCCCCTTTGCGTGTGCCTCGTCAATGGGTGGAAGCTGTGACGCAAGCATTGCCCGCCGAGGTGCCGCTTACACAGGTGGACGCTCACAACATTGTACCACTGTGGGTGGCATCCGAAAAGCAGGAATATGCCGCGCGCACCATACGAAACAAAATCAATTCGAAATTGGGGGAGTTCCTGTCAGAATTTCCACCTGTAATCAAACATCCGTATGGCAAAGGATGTGTGAAAGAGAGGCCCGTGGATTGGAAGGCAGCTTATGAAATGCTTGAGTGCGATAAATCAGTAGATGAAGTAGATTCCCGGCCGGGCTACCAAGCCGCCTGCCGTCAGCTTTTCGACTTTTGTACGCGCCGACTTGGCAAATTCAATGAGAAACGTAACGATCCTACAGTGGATGCGTTGTCGGGTCTCTCACCCTGGTTTCACTTTGGCCAGATCTCAGTGCAGCGATGCATACTGGAAGTCCAACGCTACCATACGCAACATAAAGCCTCCGTCGATGCCTTCTGTGAGGAGGCGATTGTACGCCGCGAGTTGGCCGACAATTTTTGCTATTACAATGAGCACTACGACAGCTTGAAAGGATTACAATCGTGGGCATTGCAAACATTGAACGATCATCGCAAGGACGAACGTAGTCCTTGCTACACCCTGGAGGAGTTGGAGAGGGCTCGTACCTATGATGATCTGTGGAACTCTGCGCAGTTGCAGCTGGTAAAGGAAGGCAAAATGCATGGATTTCTGCGAATGTATTGGGCCAAAAAGATTTTGGAATGGACCGCCTCACCAGAAGAAGCACTGGAGTTTACAATATTGCTAAACGATAAGTACAGCTTGGATGGGCGGGATCCTAATGGCTACGTGGGTTGCATGTGGTCTATTGGTGGGGTGCATGACCAAGGCTGGAAGGAACGATCTATCTTTGGAAAGATACGCTATATGAACTATCAGGGGTGCAAACGCAAATTCGATGTGACTGCGTATGTGATGCGGTATGGCGGAAAAGTGCACAAGAAGCAGTAAAAAGAAATTTAGTTTAAAATAAATGTATACGTGCTGAACAGGCCATGGGCATTGTTTACAATTGATAGCGAATCGCTGTTTTATTTTCCAACCTTTTATCATGTTTAAATGTTCATAAAGTAATAGTAGCTACATCTATGATCGTTGATCAAGCGTTAGTCCTTTTCGGCAATCTTGTTGAGATGTTCCTCGATCTCCTTTTCATCCAAAATGCGGAACGCTGGACAATCCTTGCTCACAACGCCAATCTCAATGCTGTTGGTCTTGAAGTCCACGGCCAGCACATTAGAGAGGCAAGTAATTGCCAGTTGAATGGCTTTCTCCTCAGATAGATTATTTTTGTATTTCTTTTCCAAATAGCTGGTGGCTTCCAGTGTCTTTGCACCAACGGAACAGGCGCGAAAGCCGCAATAGTAGCCAGCTGGATCGGTTTTGTACACGCCGGGTCCGTTCTCGTCGTCGTAGGCAATGAGCATCATGCTGCAGCCAAGCGGGCGCATTTCAGCGTTTTGAGTATAAACTTGATTAATATCCGCCATGCGACGACAGAGAATCTCGACTGGAATTGGATAGCCATATTTATACAGGAAATTCGATGCTTCGTAACGCGCCTTTTGCACCTGCGAGCGAGCGTCAGCTGGGAATGCAAATAATTTAAAGCTGGTAAAGAGGAATCAACTGCTTAGGCGCTTACCAATACGACCAGTCATGACGCATCCGATTTCCTTGGTGATCCCAAATAAATGAGTTACTGTCTCCGGGACAATGAGCTTCTCAGTCACTTTCTTTTGGGTGGCAATAACGGCACAGTCGCCGCTTTTTAATGCCACCGAAGTGATGTTCTCCTGGCTTATAGCCTTAAACGCATATTCTAAAACATAAATAGGGTAAGCCAACATCCTAAACATGCTGCGATTTGCGAACCACATTAATACTAACCCACTTGATAGAGTCGCCCTTCTGGCGAGAAAATCGTAATGTGCCTATCAAAGCCGGCTGAACTTCCGCGAGACATTGTAATTTTAGTATTAGGCTGTTGAAAAGTAAAGAAAACATATTACTATCAGCTGTATTACTGCATAACATCTTTTACCTTCTTAATAAACAAAAATTTCCAACTTTTTTAGAATTAGTAAAATATGCGTTTGGTTCGCTGTTCTGTTTAAAACAAAATTTCATATAGTCATGGTGCTGTCATGTAGCAGGCAGGGATGACAAAGAAATCGATTGTTGCTGATGTCGATTAGTATCGATAGCCTTGTTGTTTTCCAGCACTGGCGATTTATTATACATTAATTTTAAAGCAGGTGGCAAGACTGTATAAAGTTAGACGTCCAGCATTTGTTTTCTGCAGGACACAATACCTTAGGAATGGAAGGGAGTTCGCTATTATTCCAATCTGAGTTCTATTGTGCGGCGCAATCTAAATTTTAACACGAAGATCAGAGGTAGCAAGGACTGTTGTCTGTGGTTAGCAAATACCCTTGCCGGTGGCGCATGGCGATTGTAAATACTGCCAGCAAAAAGGTAAATATGTACATATGCATTGAGATACATACATATGTACATGTGTGCATAGCGCAGCGAATTAAATATTTATTTAAGCTTTTCTTAGCCTATGTTTAAGTTTAATTTTAAGTAGCAAACATGCACGAGGATGATTTGAAAAATCAATTGACGATTGCGCGGAACGAAATTAATAATTTGAGGTGCGTGGTATTGAAATTTGTATACATATGTATGTATGTACATACATATATTTCATATTGTATAAGTTCAAGTTCATGACAATGTTGCCTTCAGACAGCAAGTGCGCAACTTGCAGCATGTGCAGCGCAAGGACATCGAAACAATAACCCGTCTGCTGCAGGATTTTCGCTGCGAAGGGTGCAGCAGCTTACAACAACATCCAGCCAGTGGCAAGGGCAAGGTCAGTGTCGAGGAGGACATAGCGCAGGTGCGTTCTCATCGACTTGCAAATGTAACAGCATAATGACCTTTAAGCACGCTTTAGAGCACCAGCAGAAATGACATTGCTAACGGAGGCGACGATGATTTGGCAAACTTTCGACCCATAGGCGTCATACGTAGTGCCTTTCCGGAGAAGCGGGCAGTGCCTCGTCAATCGAGCGTGGGTGGTCGTCTGCGAAGCATCATACATCTGAACGATGGCGTCTTTACGAATCCAGAACACTCGTTGGACGGCCTGTCTGAGTTTTCCCACTTGTGGATCATCTACCATTTCCATCGCAACAATGCACACCCAAAGGCCAAAGTAGCTCCACCACGACTGGGGGGCGAACGTGTCGGTGTTTTCTCTACACGCTCACCGCATCGCCCGTGCCCCATTGGCCTATCGCTGGTCGAGATTGAGAAAATTGAAGGTTCTACGATCAGCTTTTATGGCACTGATATGGTAGATGGCACACCTGTGCTGGACATAAAACCATATATACCATTATATGATGCGCCCGCACTGAGCGTGGAATCAGGTATGTTTGGCAACCTGCACGATGCTGTGTAATACATTGTCTGAAGTCTTGCTGCCTATAGGTCACACAGCTGTTGGGCCAAATGACAACAGTGGTGCCGATTTCTATGGATCACGCCAAGAGCCCGATGGCGAGGAGTCCGATTTAGAGTTATATGGTGCTGCAGGCGGCCACACAGCTATCAGCATGAATAATGGCGATTTGAGTGGACATGGGATCTTGGCCCCACCGTTGCCGTCGGCTGTACGGGTTCCCAATTGGGTTGTGTCTTCGCATCGTCTAATGGTGTGCTTCAATGAGCATGCAGAAATGCAACTGCAGGAGCTGCAAGTGGAAAAGCAATGCATCGTTGACATCTTGGAGACGGATCCGCGCTCCGTTTATTTGCGCACAAAATACGGCTCTCAGATATTTACTTTTCAATTGAGCGAAGTCACAGTAACGTGTAAGTTCGATGACAAGGCAGCCACAGTGACTGTGGTGCAGGTGCGGCGCAATGAGAACGTGCAGGTGGCGACGTTGGACGAACCACGCGGCGCTTAGTTGGATCAGTTCTGTCTAGGCTTTGCAAAATACATTCTGTAATCAAAAAGCTTTGTAGTGGCATTTCTTGTGTTTTACTTATGTATGTATGCAGTGAACGTTTAATAGCTTTAAGCTTTGAAAACATTTTCAACTTATTCATAACAATTATCAATCATGAAATATACAAAAAATTAAGTGCAGGAAAATATGGTTTCTTTCAAATAGTGTGAGTCTGTACATAACATAAAGGATTAATAGGATGTTGTTAAAATGGATGAACACATTATTATTTTCTAGCACTATGGTTGATGGAACCTTGAGTTGGACAGATTTTCTTAGCGAGGCCAGAGAGTTTTTGCACTTGTCGGAACAGTTGGGTGATGGGTGGACGCTATGTGAAAAGGTGTGGGCACTGACCTAAACCAACTAACTAACTGATGAAAAATATTTGTAACACACATACATATTATTATTCAGGATGGGAATGAACCCAACACTTTTCTCAGCTGTAAGCGGAAAGTAAGAAGCAAAGATAATGGAACACTCTCCACGCTAATCAGTGTGGAATATCACGTGGTATTTAGTGTGTCGTACCAGGTGCCCATGTTGTTTTTTCAAGCGCACAGATCAGGTAGGCGAATATTTACAAAATTCCAATTTATTTTAAAGCTGCTCCCCACACAGACGGCAGCCTGCTGGATGTCGATGCAACGTGGCGCGCATTTATGCCAGAAGCGAGAGAGCGCAGTGATTTATTCCAGATGCTGACGCAGATGGATCATCCAGTTTTGTTTCGCCCCTTCATGGCTTTGCATCCTTGCCGCACCTCCGATGTTTTGGCCCAATTCGGCAAAAAGAGCGAAAACCGCATACTTACGTTTATAAGTGTTTATGGGCCGCATGTGCAATTGAATTTGCAAAATGCCTACGGAAATGCAATAAAGTGCAAATAAAAAACAGTTTCTTTGTTTTTAATGTAGACAGATACCGTATAAATACATATCATACATATATTTGCATGTATTTGCTTTATTTGAAGGATTTTCTATTAGTTAGACACTGGAGCATATGTGGGGTAGTATTTGGTTAGACCTACGAATGATATATACGAGTAGAAGACACTTATGTACAATATGTAGACACATATTTTTTCTTGGCACAAACAGAACTAAAACTCAATTTGTATTATAACAATAACATTGTATTGGTACTGGAGAAACGAATTTTAATAGCGACCAATAGAGTGTATTAAGCTACAATTTTAATCCAGCCCGAATATTCACAGGAGGAAGGAGCTGCTATGTATGAGTTGAGTTTTAATCATTCAATCATTCTCAAAATCAGAAAATATTTACTAATAACATATGTAGTTCCTTAGATTTTAATGTGTGGAGCGATATGAAGGGTGTATACGCTTTTCATAAACATTCATAGTGGTTTTCCTGTAATTAATTTCGGTTTGTAAGACATTTTTTCAAACAGTTGTTCAGTTGAAATAAACTCTAGGGCTCTTTTAAATTTGAACAATTCTACAATTTGGACATCTTTGTGGTTTGTTACAGATTTAACAAGCGAAGTGTTTTTGAGAGTGTCTAACAAAACACTTTCCACTTTCACTTTTGTCTGGTGTTCTATTGTTTTCTTGGCTCAAGGGATACCACTAATATTAACTCAGTGCAATCTAAAATTTGATCGGATTTCTTCAGGGCATATACTACGGTACACATTCAATATTTGGATTTTGACAATTCGAATTCTATTTGGCTGAATATCAATTTTCAGTTTAAGTCATCTTATAATAAATATTCTCTTTGTTCACTAATTATGTCTAGGACTTTTCCATGATGCTTCCCAAAAACTATACTTTCGAGAATATACTATATGCATATGTATGTTTTAGTATTTACATTGGCTTTCTTTAAATTTGTTTAAAATTGTATTTGTTCTTGGCATTTACTTTCTACATCTACGAGTGCTAAATATGCAATTTATTTTATGTTTCTTTCACTTCTCCGCCTATTAAGCTTAATCTAAGAGATACTCGCCTCTATGTATATATAGTATGTATATATTTTAGTAATCATTGTATTGGCACTTGGCCCATTACTCGTATGCTTAGGTTTTTCAATTATAATTAATGTTAACTGGCTACTGTGTGGTATTTGCAGCTCGACGCCAAGCCACAAAAGCTTCGCCCAAAGGGCAAATCCAATTTGTGGGCGTGAGCATTTGCATCAATAATGTACTTTGCAAAATTAAATAGATGTTTTTGTTTTAGATTTTGTTTTGCATTGTAATAGACAAAATATATGTAATACGTCGGTAAATACATACATTCATATACTTGTAGTACTTATATTTGACATTTATGTTTGTCGTCATTTAAATTGGTTTATTTTGTTTAAAAATCTATTGGACTACATGACATAGTTAGTGCATGATTATGATGCAGTGTAGCAGTAGTATGAGTTCCATGTACATACATACCTATACTAAATGCCTATTTTAATAACAATAATAATATCAATGGAAATGTTTAATCATATAAATGAAAGTGCTTTAACTTTTTCAATAAATATATTGTATACAACAGCCGACAAGGAATTACATTCCTACATGTTTAAATGTTTGGCATGACAACATTTGCAAATGAAATCTGTGCATAAATTAGATAACAAATAAATTACGTTGTAATTAAAATACACATTTATAGTAATCGGATTTTGACACTAGATTAAGGCTTTGAACTTCAATAAAAAAAACAAAAAGCAACCTATAATAGTGCTGCCTAATAATAGTAGCTTTATATATTTTTCTCAGCAGTTTTCAATCTAGTGTCATAAATCCACAATTAACTTAAGCAGTTAAATTCAATTTGGAAAGTTGTTGAACCTACTTCGATCTTACTATCTAGTTATGATATAGGTATAATATAAGTACAATATACGATCATATTTTGGTATCAGCAGTAGGTATAAGGGATATTATGTATTTGATATTTTTTATATTTGTTCATCTTAGTACACTAAATATTATATTTGTTAGGAATGTTTTTGAACTAAACGTCAAATAATGAACGTTAAAATACTTTATTTATAAGCGTGGGTTCGTCTGTGTTGAAAAGATGAAAACAAATCAATATTTTTCATCAAATCTTCGTTTTATTGTTGGCTACTTAATATCTTCATGTGTACTAATTTTATATGGGTTTTTCCTACTTGTGAATGTACTATATATATGAGTATTTCCCGGTTCGATAAAGTTATGTATATACAATTTCCATTTTTCAACAAAGTTTTGCTTTTATTTATATTTTCTCATTCTGATATTTGTTTTTGTGTAAAAAATTTCATTTAAAGCTGCACCATTTAATTGATATTTGTATATCAAGATACTTTTTTTATGTACACACAATATAAGTATAATAAATAAAGGATATATTTATGAATATCTGCTCAGTATTGAGAGCGCAGTGCCGTGAAAGCTCAATAAAATTATTTGGAAACATGACAATAAAAAAAGGAAATGCTATTATTTGAAAAACTGTAGCCAATGATATGCTTTGGTCAAATTCCAATACAATTTTATAATCATGTAGTCGCACAGCACCGAACAATCAAACGGACAAGATGATGGCTAAATATATTACTTGTATGTATGTACCTACACAGACATACGCTATAAGTTATAATTAAAATACATCGCACATAAATATGCGTTTATGTCTACAGCTAGTTTATTTAGTAGAACTCGTAGTAGAATTTGTCAACTATGTTAAAATTCGCACTACAATGTTTGGTCTCATTTTGGTTGCATTTTGGACAAGTTTCTTCAAGTGTTGTTAGCAAGCCTTACAACTAATTCATATCAATATCAATGTATTTGTCTTAACAATTGAAGTGTGTACACCTAAAGCTTTCACATGCGTCAACATACAGACATATAGATATTATATTAAATATATAAATATTAAGATATCTTTTTCAACAATTTCATTAAATGGCCTAAATGCATGGCATGCATATGTACATTTGATCTTTAAGTAATATCCACACAAACCATCTGGAATGCATATATATTTTTTTGTTTTTATATATATATATATATAGTAAAGTCATAAAGCTCTGCAACTCACTCAGTTTTATGTATACATTTACAAATATTTTTGAAATACTCGTAGGTAACAAAAAATGCAAAAGCAAATCTATGCAAGCCACTAGACAATTAAAGCTATATTAAATACACTAAGCTAAATTATGGACGGTGGTGCTTCTAGTTATTTGAAACTCATCATCCAACTCATCCGCGGAATAATCCGCAGCCAGTTCGTATTCGATTTGCTCCTCCTGCCGACTGCGAATGAAGTCCGTCGATGCGCTGCGCCTAAATCAGCTACAGAGCATATTGAAGAAACCACGTCCTTTCTCGGAACGCGGTGCCATTAACATAGGAACTTGATTTTTGTGTGTTACCTTGATCTAAAAAGACGGGAAAACCATATAATTATTGTGTATTCAATTAGGAATTGTTTAAGCTGTTGCTTAATAACAATAACATATTGGTATGTACTTATATAATAATAATTTATTTGTTTTATTTATTTTTTAATTTCTCCCCCACTCCCGGATAATGGGTGACAACTGTATCTCAGAGACTGTAAGACCTAGGACCACCCAATTTTATTCCAAGATGTCTTATTTCCCTCACTCCCCCCTCTCCACGCAATTAGCGATTTTCCATAACCGCCGCAATTCTTAGAATTTCCCTTGATCCTTTAATAAATTTAATAAAATTAATTTGTTGCTTTAAATAAACATTTTGAAAAATTACAAATGATCAACCAACAATTTCATGTGAGAAATTCACAATAAACAACATATGTACGTATGGCAGACGCGTGAGCGGATTTACAGTTATGCTTTTTGATTCCTTGCCTTCCCTTTCACATTCTTAAAGAGAGAGTTCTGCTTGCAGCTGCAATGCAAGGCTTAGTTTTTCTCGACCTGTTGAACGCGTCGCGCCGTTTGTATTTGGAGTTGCCGAAAACTCCGAGAAAAGGTTTAATTAATAGTTTAAACATTAGAAAAATTATGTAAAAGCATTTGTACATATTAAGTTGTGTGTGAAGTGTGCAAAATATGTGTTTATTAATGCGAAAATGCCGCGCGATTAATGTGCTGCGTACATACATACAATACTTATGTGTGTATGTGCGTGTTCGTGATTTCAAATAAATTGCGCAGTGCCTCAAATTTGGTTTTTATTTTTTAAGTGTATGTATATGTGATTTAAATAAGTAAATGTGTTCAATTTGAAAATGATTTTTTATTAAAGCGATCGCAGTTATTATGTACATATGTAAAAGTAAGTACGCAGCGATTTATATTCATGATTTTTTTTCATGTATGTATGAATTTATGTACACTTACAGTGCCCTTTATATTAACAGACAAATGTCACCATAACATAACAGATACACAAAAAAAACTCAATTAACAGAGCTTGCCTAATGTGTTGTATAACAGATTGATAACTTTCCTCCATTTCTGTATACAGTCTGTTGTATGAAGACATACCAACAAGTTGCGGTTTGGGTGGTCGAGCGCCCCAACGATCGCAGTTATTATGTATGTAAAAGTAAGTACGCAGCGATTTATATTCATGATTTTTTTTCATGTATGTATGAATTTATGTACACTTACAGTGCCCTTTATATTAACAGACAAATGTCACCATAACATAACAGATACACAAAAAAAAAACTCAATTAACAGAGCTTGCCTAATGTGTTGTATAACAGATTGATAACTTTCCTACATTTCTGTGTACAGTCTGTTGTATGAAGACATACTAACAAGTTGCGGTTTGGGTGGTCGAGCGCCCCAACTTGTCGCAAAGGACCAAGAGAGCGCAGTTAGATCAATCAGAAAAAACAGGAGAGCGTACGAATTCTCTTAAAAAAATGTAAGGTAATGAAGTAAGCATGGAAGACACAATTATTCTTAATAAATAATTAGCAAGTGGAGACGATTCCTTTTGTTCGGTTTTTTCACAATTAAAGAAATTAGCGCTCACTGTACTGCACAGATAGACACCCATATACGCTCATAGACACACATGCATATAAATGGACGCTTTTTGGACTTTATTTATTTTATTATAGCCTGTACCCAAAGGGTGTAGTTATAAACCCTTTACGTGCGTTCGAATACTGAAGGAGGTAAAACTGATCAAAATTCTTTTTACTGTTTTTTTTTTTAATTTTCCTACTTTTTTTAATTCTGTGATTATTCTACACATATGTACAGAGTATTTCATAGTAGGGACACCCGAATTAAGCTACTCCACATGCTTTATTTTTTGTTTTTTAGAAAACGCCTTTAAGCTTACCGTGCACGGAACTTGCATCCATGGCTCCCCATCGATTTGCATGGGAAATGTTTTCTTCGTTTTAATGATTACTTCACTGCACTGAGCCAGGCGGCGACCAGAGGCACGTAATCCCGTTCGCACTTGGCCCATGTGTAGGCAGTTCTCTAGCCCAATAACCTCGATCAATCGATCTCCAATGTCTGCAATGAAGTAGGGTTAAACATTTAATACGAATATAGTTGCATCTTGCTGTTTTAGGTCTAGAATGTTAGAATTAATGCATTAACAAATTTTTGGTCTTACCCTGTATGGCCACGGATAGATCCACGGATGTAAAGCTAGTGGCTGAGAGTTCCTTATCGCTCGACTTAAGCTTTTTGCTTTTGGCGAAGGGTCCAGTGCTTTTACGAATGCGCTTCTGGGATAAATGCTCGCCCCATAAATTTGAGCCGCCATGCGTGTAGGGTATATTCAAGAGCGCAATGCCTTGCAAATGCGGCCCATTCGCCAAATCCAAAGCAACGCCGTCGCACTGTAAAAAAACGTAAAATGATAGTAATCTCAGAAAAACACAGAAATTCCAAACAATTTGCATTTGACTTTTAATCCCTAATTGGCACTGGCGTTGAAACGTTGCAGATTCTACTTGATGCGCAAACACGTCCCACAAGTCACATTGAGGGACAATTTTTTGCATCAGCATTGAAACTCAGTACTCACCTCTATGTCAATGTTTTCGTGCAAATTTTTGCAGGATGCAGCAAATGTTTCTGACGTTGCGTACTCGAAATACCAAAGTTTGTTCTTCATTCGACTATTGAATTTATGCGGATTTTTCTCCCGCTCCAGATGAAATTTGACGCAAATGGCGGCATCCTGCAATGGGAAGTGACAATGCGGCAATCAATTTATGCAAAATGCAAAAGGTCAGTTATAAATGGATTTCATGACATTTTTTTTATACTCTTCTTGCGTATATCCACCATTTCATGGTCAAACAGTAATGCCATTGACAATTTTCACTGTCAATTGAAAGCCTTGTAAAAAGTTTTGTAGTTTTGATTAAATTTCTATGACATGTTGTGTAATCCAACCACTTCTGACAATTGCTAAGCAATACAATTTCTGTGCGGCTAAGAAAAACTTGTATAATTCAGTGTATTGAAAGCCAATTCTTTGACCTTTAAATAGGTTTCAGAAAAAAGGATTCAATGTGTTTTATGAAGGTACAATCCAAATTATTGAAATTTTTGGCAGCTCAGATCCACAGTTGGAGCGCAATGCTATCATCGCATTGGCTTGTCTAGTTTTTAATTAGAAAGAGCAATAATCTTTATGGTAGTTAGCTTAGCTTTGGCTTATGGAGACAATGGGAATCTCGTAATATAGTATTTGAAGGAGAGTTAATTTAATTTCAAGGATTTAGATAAATTTAATATAATATATAGTTTTAATAATACAATGTTAGAATAGACAAATTTTTATCTTTTTGTGCCCTATCATATTATGAACTTTCATTGAAATCGGTGCAGTATATCGAATTATATAGAAGCCAAAGGAATTGTTTCATTAAAGGTTATTTAGTAGTTCAAGGACTTGTGTCCAACTCAAGCAATTATTAGTTGAAAAGCAACTTCAATTAATTAAATGCCACACACAAAGAGAAACTAGCACATCTTCAAGCTACAAAAGCCTAGTGTATTGTTAAGGAAACAATAATAATTGTTTGCTTTAAACTTATTCGTAAGGTAATTACGTTGGTGATTAGGATGGTTTGAAATAGAAGCGAAACACGGCTCTGTGTTGTATGAAGTAATTAAATTCAACAAGAGCTCGTTAGGACTAAAAATGTCTACATAAACTCCTACGGTTGTATACTGACTAGATACGAACTTTTAAAATTGCGAATTGCAGAGCGTTTGGCTTAACAACAGCAATTATTATATTTCAAATTGTGGCCAAACTGAGATTAAGAAGCTTTTGTATGTGTTGCTTCTGGGAAAGTTTAATTATTCCACAAAAGGTGTTACATGACAAAAAAAAAAAAAAAAAGAAAAAACAAAGGACCGAAAAGAAAAGCAGACAGATAAACAAACAAACTCATAAAACAACGGTCAGAAGTTCAAGTAAGGTGTGTGTAAAGCCATCTAAGTAGCAAGGCAGGACTCCACAATTAACGTAATCAGCATACACATGAAAAAAGGAGAAGGTAGAGGTAAAAATAAGGAGAGAAACGAAAGCAATCCAAAAAGTGACAGAGCATGAAGATTACATGCGGCTGGCAAAAACAAACTGCAGACCGACTTGTTCAAATTGCTAGTTGGGGGACCTTTTACATTGAAAAGTTGAAAGGCACGAAAGGCATAGGAGTGAGTTGAGCTTGGCTTTGTTTGTGTGTGTGTGTGCGTACGTGTGGGCTGACATTGGCCTTCTGTCAGGACACATTGTGACTATGAGCTCCCACCTAGCTGCTGCCGTTTGATGCACGGAAATGCGTAAGCAAATGGGGATCGAAGTGTGTGGGAGCTGCACAGTGTGCGAGATTAAAGGTGTATACTTATAGCATATGAATTATTTCTTCTGAAAATAAAAATGTGTGGTAACTATCTATTTCCTTATATCAACTTTATATAAAGGTATTGCTTTCTGATTAGTTTATTAATGCACAGCCCAAGATCTGAGACCTACGCACACGTATCTTTAAGATGGGAAAGCTCAAAGTTCAAAGGAATGCTAATTAAACTCTACTGAACACAATCTAAGAAGCTATTTTCGTCCAGCTTTTAATGTCGTAATTCTTTCTGATATACTAAAAAATAAAGGATGCTGTCTAATTAATAGCAATATATCAGAAATGTTTATATAATAATTTAAAATTTTTCAATTTTTCTTCTGACCGACTCTTGAATATACGATTGATAGTGCTCTTCAGTTCAAATCTGATTATCAGCCATAGATATAGTTTTTTTTTTTTGCTAATAAACTACAAAAAGTTCGTTAATTAAAGAAACTAAACTTTCGGGCCGAAAAAAGCCGTTCCATGCTCAGCACTAGCATACTATACTATATATATATATAGAATGTGATGCGCTTACAGCTTCACTCAAGAATTTGAATTTTAACCTTTTTTCGAGATCTGTCCTAGGGTGGACAATTATTACATACATTTTATGATAACTTTGAAAATTGAATCATGCTTCGATTCGAGTGCCTACATGGCAACAAACTCACATTGTCGGATTCCTGAATTGATCAAATAGAGTTTTAAACAGTACTTCTTTGTATACAAATAATTGTTGTAGGCGATGTATGTACTTTAGTTAAAACTTTGGAACGGATATTTTAAAAACTCTATGCTGCATACACATTTTTGATTTATTTTATCTATATTTATTCACATTAGATGCTTTAGTTATTTTTCTGTAGCTGTTTAATTGATTTTTATTAATAAATGTCCTTACACTTTGCACAACGTTACTTTATACATTTTGTTCATATAGTATAGCATTGAATATTTACACTGTGCCCTGCTCTTTTATTCATGTACACCAATTGCAACGGCATGTACATACGTGCGTTTTTGCTACCGTGTGGGAGTGTGTGTGTGTGTGAGTGAGTGTGTGAGTGTGTGTCGGGGCTAGTTGGACCACCCGCACGTTCGTCTGTGTGGGCTTAAGTCCTTTTTATATTGCAAATGCCGCAGGCTGTGTGCACTGCACTGTTAATGCGCCTTATTGGGTAGCCCCGAAAGCTGTGCTGTGCTGTGCTGTGCTGTGCATATTGCAGTTGCTGACAACCGCACGCCCACCTCCCCTCCTTGCCACCTGCCCAAAGAACCAACAGAGCCCACACGGGCATTTTAATTTTTCTTATTTTCGACCCAAACATGGGTTGTTGCTGGGACAACTTTGTTGAATGCCTCGTTGCGTATACGACATGTTGGTCGTCCAACTTGCCAGTATGTGTGCGCGTCGGTGAGCTTCTGACGTATTTGTAGGCACATTTATTATTCATGCCACCACTTGGACGTGCCTAACATGTGGCGGCGACTGTGGCAACCTGCTTTAGTTATGCTTGTTGCTCTTACAGCAAATAAGATTAATTACCACTCGAGCGCAAATTGAATCGTTAACGGGAACATGAGGGGGAAAGGAAGCGCTTGAGTTCGTTAAAATTGTGTAAACTTTCTAATTAGCTTGTGTTAAAATGTCACTTTCAACTTTTGACCTTTGCAGCAGTGGAATTACTTAGTGACACACATCTGTCAGCGCTATCTACTTAGAGTGCGGGCATGGTTGCGGGTGCTTAGACAAACTATTAGCGTAATATGCTTGTCGAGCTTCAGAGCAATGCCTCGATCTGTTACATAATTTTGCAACTTTGTATCTTCCCTCCTCTACAACCTTGCAAAGAAAGAAAATTTCTAAATAAATGGATATAAACTGTTTGTAAAAAGGACGTGATTGACTCTTAGAAATGTATATAAAATATTACATAGAATATTATTTGATGATTCTGATTGTTTTAGAAACAGCATTAGATTTTATTATTTATTTAATTAACTTCATAGCAAATTCTCACTCTTCTATTAATTGTATGTTCGTGTGTTTTTTTTAGAGGAGCCAAGATTTTTTCCTTCTTTCTTTTCTGTTGTCAATCAATAAATATCCAATCTATAGATTGGACATATGCTTTATTTAATGGTAGAATAAGTTGGACAAAATTTGCGAAAATCATATGCTTTTGAAATGTCTATTAGGTCAATTTTTTATTATTTTGATGTCGTATATTTATGTGCAGCCAAACGATTCGTAATTAAAAGTTATAGCATGGAGGATCAAAGAAAAATTACACATTTCCTATTTCCCATTTTGTTTCGTGAAATTTATTCTGCGTTGTTCTTGTTATTTTATTTCGTTTTCTATGTATCAGCTTTTGCCATGACAAATGGTATGGACGCGTTATTACAGGCCTAACTCATTAAACCTGAAATTACTTTAAAATTGTTTTCAAATTGTCGCAGCTATAAAACTTTGAAGTGTATCTAAAAGTAGAATATATAGTATGTTGTTTACAAGTCGCACAAAAGTTGACAAATGAAGCAGCAACTCCTTAAAGTCGTATAGAGCACGAAATGGCATACAAATAAATACTCGTATAAAAACAAAACAGAAGTCAAGCCTCCAGAGCGGTCGCGGCCATAAAACTTGACTTAAAGCGAAAGAGCAGTGCACACAATTACACATGTACCCGCAGACAATATACAACCATGCCTACCCTCCATATACAAGCATGTACACGTATGTGTGTACGAGGACATATGTATGTACATACATGTACATAGAAACATTTGTTGGTACTGGCCCGCACTTTTATCTGCAGCGCACAAGTTCGCGCTTAGCGTCAATTGTTGACGTTAAACCAAAGCGTCAGCGTAAAATACTTTTCATGCTGTATTACGCCTGCCGAGACCTCACACCCCATACCTTTTGGCCACTGCCACAAAAGTGGAGCATGATGTTGAAAAGAGCAAAGTTTGGGAAGCTAGGCATGCCACCGACTCAAGTAGCTGTCTTGGCCCGATGCTCTGGGTCGACGGTCGGTCGTCACGCCACGACGATGCCACAGCGCATATGACAAGTCATTTGTGCGCAGTTTGGGGTCGACACGCACAGGCACGCATACACATACACATCCACACTCGCAGGACCACACACGTGTAAGCATGTACATAAGTGTTAAATGGATTTCATGTCGGCAGTGCGAAATGAAGCCGACAAGTGAAATCCAAGCAGCAGCTACAATAAGACGCAGTGTGCGAAATGGCATGAAAATCGTCGACAGTTTGCTGAAGACGCCTACTGTTTAAATAGACG